CTAACTTAGGATTCCCTCCAAAATATATTTCCTAGTTCAAAACTACATGTAAGTGGATAATTTAAGAAACAAATCAAACAGGTCTTCACAGGGAGTAGATTTCATTAAGAAAGCAGCCTGGAAGCTGGACAACAGGATGAAGGCGTGTAACCCCTGACATTTGGAGGCTAGAACAGGAGGATCATGAATTTGAAGCTTACCAGAATTACATGCTAAAACTGTCTCACAGCTGGTCAATCAACTACCTGGCCAGAAAGCAAGATTCTAGAACTGAATAATGAGAAGTAGCTTCTATTAGAGCCATGTCCCTCCATAAGTGTAGCTGACAAGGGACATGTTTCTTGTCTCTGACTATAGAGGTAGAAAACTGGATTGCTTTCATGATTTCTAAACACTTCAAATTAGAAACAAGCTTTATAAACATTTGGAAAAAAATGACAATGCCAGAAGTGTAGATTAATATGTTTTTCCATAGGTAAAAGAGCAAATGGGTTTTCTGCTTATGTCTTTAGCTGAGATATTCATATTAAACACATTTTACAGTTTTATTTTCTTTTGAAAGTACTAATGTGATCAAATTATAATATTTGACTTTTATACCTTCTCAAATATATATAAGTAGTTTCCTTTAAAGTTTACCTTTTGAATTTTTAATGGTCTTAAAACTTTCATTTTTGCTTTAAGGCTTCTTCCATATGTATTATCCAAACCTCACTAACCTGTGTCTTCAGAATGCTATGGCACTCACCATGTTGTTTAGAGATATATATTCATGACATCTATTTGACTAATAATTTTCATTACTTCTTTCTACACTTTATTGGACAGGAAAGGATGGTCATAAGGCTTTTCAGGTTTGAATGTGATATCTAATGATGTTTTCAAGGTTAATCAGACCTTTTCCATAATACAACTTTAAGGCATCATTTAGTGATTATTTTTAATTTTTCTGAACTGCAAAAATGAGACAAATGATAATTTGGTTTTGTTGATTGAGACAGATATAAAGTCTATTTATGCCCAGTTTCTTAGAGGAAATATGTCTTGAACATTTACTATAAAATAAGTATGGCTATTACTTGAAAAGCAAATGATATATAGTTGAACTATGCATTTTTTCACTACTAGATTTAAGTTTGTTAAGAAATAATATTCATTTTGACAGTTCTCAGTAATATTCCTGATTGTAAAATAATCTTGAAAATTGTAATCTAAATCTGAATATAGTCCAAGAGATCATTAATAGCTAGCTATCTTCTATAGAAACCTTATGGGATCAATATAATTATGTACCATTTTTGGGTAAGCTCATTAGTAATTTTATCATCTAGCTACCAAAATAGCACTGTTATTCTAATGATAGTAATAGCAGAGACTGTTCAATATTATGTCTTTAGGCATGTTATACACAATAAAACTTATTACCTGAAATTCTTTTCATTTAGTTCCTACAATAATGGAAATGAAAAAAATAATGACAGGAAAACCAACATATGACTTATAAGATTAAATGTGAATACAGAAAGGAATTAGAAAATAGATGTTATAAAATATGATAAAATTATTTAAGTGTACCAAAGTCATTTAAATCATTTGTGTAACTCAATTTTGTTTAACATGGCAGCCAAAAATAATTAAATGGGACAGGAAAACATCCCAGCAGGAAAGTGCTTGACATCAAGCTTGGTGCCTGAGTTCAATCTTTGGGTCCCACACAGTAGACGAGTACTACAACAAGTTGTCTCTGGGTCTCCATGAGTGAGTGCAGCGATGCAGGCATGGCCCCCACTGAACTAAATAAATGAAAATATTTAAAAAGCAATTGGCATTCTGAAGATGCGTTTACGTCTTTTTCTTACATGGTGAATTTTCAAAGTCTCCTAATTGTCAGTGTCTAAAATTATCTAAACAGGCAGGAACACTTTGTCTATCTTCCCATTTTTGGTTCTTTCAAGTGTCACTTGCATTGAAACAATATTTAATGTGATTGTTTCATATACACACCAACCGTAGTTTTCAAAGATTCATACATTTCTGTTTTTAATGTTTTCTCACTTCTGAACAGAGACATTTAAAAATCATCATATCAGGATGTTAGTTTTCATCTTTATCTTTAGTGGACAGACAGGTACAGTGTGCTGTCCTCCAATTAAAATTTTGGAGAGATGTGTTTGTATTTCCTATCTCTTAAACTGTTGGTTTGAGAATCCACTGAAGTAGCTTCTGCTCTAGTGTTCTGAAAAGCACTGAGGCATGCGGTCCACTAGTAAGTGACTTCTGAGTCTAGCAGGCAACACCACCTAGCTATACTCAACCTAGCTATACTCAAGTTAACTGAGGCCGTGGTTTCCAAGTGTGTGATGTAGTCGTTGGAAAAATACATATGATCACGATTAATGTATACATAATATAGGTATCTTATTAAAATTTTGAAAAGCAGTTTTAGAACTCTCCTATTAACAAGAGCTGAGTTTGTACCTCAAAAAATGATGGAAGGCTGAATTTTGAAGCAACTGAATTTATTTAAATTTATGCTCGTTTTATGAAAGTGTTTTATTTTTTGCATTTTTTTCATATTTTATTTTCAAACAGTCTTTTCTCATTTTACATACCAAGCCAGTCTCCTTTTCCTCCTCCTGCTTCCCCCACCTTCTTACCCCATCCACTCCTCAGAGAGGGTAAGCTTCCCATGGGGAGTCAAGGAAGTCTAACACATGACTTTGTGACAGGACCATGCTCCCCTCTCCCCCCTGTATCTAGGCTAAGCAAAATATCCCTTCAAAGAGAATGAGTTCCAAAAAGCCAGTATGAACACTTGTGATAAATACTGGTCCCACTGCTAGTGGCCCTACAGATTGGCCAAACCACATAACTGTCACCCACTTCAGATCGCCTTGTTCGATCCTATGCAGTGCGTCCCCCCGCCACCCCATTGTCAGTCCAGAGTTGGTGAACTCCCACCAGCGCAAATCAGCTATCTCTGTGGGTTTTCCAAAATGGCCTTGCCCCCTTTGCTCATATTATCGCTCTTCCCTCTCTTCATCTGTACTCTTGCAGGTCTGCCCAGTGCTTAGCTGTGGATCTCTACATCCGCTTCATCAGTTGCTGGGTGACAAATAAGGTAGTCGTTAATCTGATTACAGGGAAAGGTCAGTTCAGACAGTCCATTAATGCTTAGGGTCTTATCTGGGGTCTTCCTTGTGGATTCCTGGGAATTTTCCTAGTGCCAAGTTTCTCACTAGCCCCATAATGGCTCCTTTAATCAAGATGTCTCTTCCCTTTCTCTCCTTCTCTGTCCTTCCATCATCTCCACCATGTCATTGCTCATGTTCTCCTCTCCCCCCACCCATGTCCCTTCTGTCCTTTCCCAACCACACTCCCAATTGTCTCAGGACATCTTGTTTATCTTCCCCAGGGAGATCCACGTGTATCTCTCTTAGGGTTCTCCTTGTTACCTAGCTTCTCTGGGGTCATGGACAATAGGCTGATTATCCTTTGCGTTATATCTAATATCCACTTTCGAGTGAGTACAAACCATGTTTGTCTTTCTGGTTCTGGGTTATCTCACTCAGGATGCTTTTGTCTATTTTCACCCATTTGCATGTAAATTTCAAGATGCCATTGTTTTTTTTTATAACCACTGAGTAGTACCCCATTGTATAAATGTACCATATTTTCTTTATTCATTCTTGAAAGCATTTTAAAAGAAGAAAATTTTATCACTGATTTTTGGAACAAGAGAAAATAAACATACATCCTAGAATAAAATAGAGTGGATGGGGAAAGGGTTAGGGAGATGATGGGGGGAATGGGAGAATGGAAGGGAGAGGGAAATGGGATTGGTATGTAAAATAAGATGGTTCTTCATTTAAATTAGAAAATAATAAAAAATAAAAATGATATTTCATGGTTCATGTAGCTGTGACATTTTAAAATTGAAACAATAGTTTTCTTTCTTTTACTCCACCTAAATATTACTACATCCTATTTCACAAAGGGTTATCAAGCAGCTCTCAGCCTGTGACTAGTTAGTATGAGGTAAGTAACTTATTTATCAAGTTTTTATTTATTTGATACATGAAAAGAAACTGTTTACCTTCATTTAAACACTTGCATCACTGTGAAAATTTTTCATTTGTGAAACAATATGAAAATCCTGTATTTCAAAAAAGCAATGCAACCTTGATGATATTCACACAGCTAACTAGTCAGTGACTATTTGCTGGTTATTTATTTAGTATCATTCTTATCATCAAATTTACACACTAAATAGCTTCCTAAAATAAAACATAAGACAGCTTTGTTTCCTCAGAATTAAATTCAGACGTTAAGAGTGCCCTGATTTAGAAACACTCACACACACACACACACACACACACACACACACACACAATCATGCTAACAGTGACCAGGGTGCTCTTGGTTTGATGTTCATTCTCTCATGCAAATACATAAGACATAAACCCACCCCAATATGTATACAAGCCCAAGGTACCTGTGAATGAGTACTAAAGTAGGAAATGCAAAAGAGCCAGTTTGGGCTGGAGAGGGAAAAGGAATATTTAACTTTTAATTCATAAATCAAGCAATGATCACTTATAGACTAAACACACAATAGTGTCAATGTCAACGTCACCATGGGGGGCAAAATTCTCACAATATAATGTTTAGCAATAGTTGTGAGCTCAAAACTCTCAGAGTTAAAGACAATTGAGCTGCTACCCTACACACACACACACACACACACACACACACACACACACACATGCAAGCACACACACAGATACATGCACACACAATTACAGAGATTGGAAACGCCAAGAAAAAAAAGGCAAATCATAAGCCTGTAACTGAAAACAATTCGAAGAGTATACTGAAAATTTGAATATATGTCAAGGGTTAGACAATGAGCATTCCTTGTAGTGTTCAAGAGGATAATGAAACTGTTGCTTAGGTTTAAACATGATAAAATATTTATAGTTAAGATGTATATAAAATGTATACTCAGCAGGCAGGGGGAGCTACCAGGACTGTGAAGGTAGTTTACCAGGGTAAGGCTTATCCATTGTACTCCCAATGTGTTGTTCCTGGTGATTTTCCCCAAAGTGGGAAAGTTGACTGTATAATTTTGGTAGTGGGGTGTGGACTGTGTTCATGCTCTCCTCTGCAAAAGAGGAAGGAAGGAAGGAAGGGAAGGAGGGAGGGAAGGAGGGAGGGGGGAGGGAGGGAGGGAGGGAGGGAGGGAGGGAGGGAGGAAGGAAGGAAGGAAGAAAGAAAGAAAGGAAACAAAAACGTAAAACTTTAGACACAATCACAGATATTGTTTTCCAGGCATCACAAGGGACACAGAAGTACACAGAAAATGATGAGTTCAAGTGTACACAAGAACAGAAACAATAAAAAACATCGCAATGTAGTATGAAGAAAACTAAGAGAATTCAGTCAGCTATTTTAGTAATCACAAATCACATGAGTGTAAAGGTATTTTACTTGCCTTCTAAGAAATAAGTATATTTTTTTAAAAAAAATCACTGTGTGCTGAATATAGATCACACATACAAATGATCACAAAGTTGTAGGGGTAAGGGAATAGAAATTATTCAAATCATTTAGTAAACAAAAAATGCTGAGTAAATATAGAGTTTAGGAGCAATGTTTACATATTTGGCAATATGATATGTGATTTCAATAATAAAGACAATGACCTGTGATGATAATGACTAGTGTTACTGTGAACATGTCATAGGCAAGCATCTGTAAATGGTTTATGGAGTTTAGATGATTTACTTGTAAAGACAGCCCGAAGAACTTTGAAAGCTATGATATAAATCACTGTGGTGTTCCACTTGATGTGAATATACACCCATGGTTTTAGACTTTTAGTTGTAAAATACACAGAGTCTGTTAAAAATCAAACTCACAGCTTCATAGAAAGGTAGTCTGTGAATACAAATATGCACAAGAAGTAATTTGAGAAGTTTATAAACCCAGGAAAAAGAAATCATTTCTCTCCTAATCAAAATAAAAAGTACTTCACTTTTATCGGCTTGGAAAAAGTATAAGGTATTAAAACAAGATTGTTGGCAAAGATACAAAAAAAACCCCATAAAATTTAATGAAATTTGGGAGGAGAGTGAATTGGCACTGTGGAGAGTACAGTAGATTTAGCTTATATGCTACAAAGCAATTTCATTTCTAGGAATACGTGCTAAAGAGGCTTGTACATGACAAAAAAGGAAATATGTTAACAATTACTCACAAAATTAATGCTTTTATTAGGAAGTTATTGGAATTGCTCTGATGTGAGCAAATCCCACATGTATGATGACAATATGGGTAATAACTTAAGTAGAGATGCATGAAGCAGGATGCTGTTTACAAAAGCATACAAATTTGTACTGGGATCCACATGTCTTTAAAGTATAAATAAATGGAAGTAATGAAGCAGAAATTTAGAGGATTGGTTACTTCTGGAGAATGTATAGTAGGAGAACACGAGAGGTTTGTATAGAATACTTCAACTGCATTAATTCTTTATTTATTGTTATAATTACCCTTAGTATTTATATATGTGTATATGTAAGTGTACCATGTGAATGTGCGTAGATATAAGTGTCTCTCCTCAGAGGCCAGAGGAGGGTATCAGGTATTCCCCAGCACCAGGGTCACAGGTGTGTGTGACCAAGTCCCGATCTTGTTTTTCCCTATGTGGGTTCAGGAAATTTCAACTCATGTTTTAGCAATTACTCTTACTAACTCAATGGCCTTTAAGCCTTTGTTATTATTTTGGGGACAAGATATTGTGTAGTCCATATTAGACTCAAACTCACTATGTAGCTGAGGTTGCTTAGCCTTGAACTTCTGATCCTTCTGGTTTACCTCCTAAGTGCAGGTATTACAGTCATTCATTTCTATACCCATTAGTAATACTTTATTTTTTAAAATAATGTGAAAAATATATAAAAATGAATGATGTGTGCACACATACTTATTAGATTATTATTCATATTACCTCATGTATTTTATTGTTTTTCTTTCATGGTACTTTGTAGATTTCAAACATATTTGCATCTTCCCAAGTGTCTTGGCATTTTGTGGGTGTGTGTTTAGCATAAAGCCTCAAACAAAATTGGAATTAATATGTCTACTGAGTACAGGTATGACAGTATAATCATACATATGCAGTACACCTATAACTAATACTTCAAAATTGCACTGGTCAAAAATGTTGCTAACATTTCAAATTGATATGATGACACTTTCCAAATGATAATTCAATATATAATATAGAATGGGAAACAGTAGTTATAAATTCCCATACCTAAGTGATAAAGAGCCTTCTCATTTTCAATGAGAACTGATCTATAGCAAAACTGCATTTTATTTTCAGAAGAGAGCTCCTTAAAATGTCAAGTACTTTGGAAAATTTTTCTCCCATTTTGAAAATTAATGCATATTATTTATAAACATAGTGGGTTTTATTCTGACATTTTGTGTACTATGTGTATAATGTTCTGAATCCTATTCACCTGTTGCCCTCATTTTTCTCTTCCCCCATCCTGCTTCCTTGGACATGTCAATGAATTATCATGCATTTTAGCAAAGAATTTGTCTTGATGTTGTTTTCTTTTAACACTTCAGGCTGGGAGTGCAGTTCAAAAATAGAGCATGTGTTAAAATATTGTATGACCTGTTCAAGACCCAGCCTCTCTGCCTCCTCCCAAAGTTATACCATTATGACTCAATCACCCTGGTGTTCACTGATGCTTACCCTACAACCTTGTCTAAGGAGGTCCACTTAGTAGACATTTGATGGTAAATTAGATAAAAATACCAAATATTGAAGGTTATAGATCATTTCTTGAAAAGTGTGATTTAGTGTTAATGAAAGGTTCCTTTATTCTTATGAAAATGCAATTTAATGTTCATTTATTGGCACTAAGTTGTTGTTCTCTAATAGCCAATAATCACGTTTGTTTTAACTGATGAATCTTGGCGTTTGATAATAAACCAGACCTCTGATACGTAATGTTTGTTTTGTCTACTTGCTATAGAATATTCATCAAAGTACTTATAAATCTTTTAGGTATTTTAGCAAATGACTAGCTCATAATTTAAGTACTTAAAAATGGGTGAGTTCATGAACTATATAATATCACAAGAATGGTCTATCTGCTAGAAGCTTGTGAGATTGTGCTTTAGAGAAATGCTACAGTACAAGCTTTGCTTCTTCCACCCTGTGAGACCTGGGTATCGAACTCAGGCCATCAGAACTGGCAGCAAGTGCTTTACCTGCTGAGTCATCTCGTCATCTCCCTTAGCATAAGAGCTGTATATGCAGACTGTGCATACTGCCACACAATGAGGGTCTATTTATAGAATGACCACAGTATCAATGATCACACTGACAAACTCATCATTTATCATTTTATAAGATGAGAGAGAAGTTAGATACAGGAGGGGATCATAGTTTCTACTATTCATTTGCTTCTAATAAAGACAGTAAGCAGAAAGACTCAATCTTACACTGTCTTAAGAAATAAGCTTAACTATAAACTAGAGGGGATAAATAATACAGAAAAGATTTTGTAACATGTAAAATATTTGCTTCTATAAAAAGAAATTAGACTATCTTTTGTTACTACATAAAAAGATACTGGAAAAATTTAAGAATGATAGGAATGATAAAGCGAAAAGTTCTCCTATTTAACTATGTTTTTGGTCTATGGACATGGTATATCTAACAGTAGTTAAGATTTCTGGGCTTCAAATGTACACACAGAAATGGAGTCCTATCTTCTAAACATTATCCATCAGAGGCAATTGCTTACCTAATCAACACTGCCACAGCTTTCAGAGTTTGAAGAAGGTCTGACCATAATTTCTAGAGACTGAATCTAGAAATCCCACTGGGCATTAATCATGAAAGAATTCATTTGAACTGATTTGTGTTGCTTACAAAGATCTGAACAATTATTTTAGATGTTAAAGTTTTATCTTCTGGTAACTATCTTCCTTTATGGAGATCTGAGTAGGACATAACTTAAAAAAACAAATGCAACAGAAATTGGTTGGTCCTAATGAAATACCTAATTTTGTACTATCTTCATAAATTAATTTGAAATCTCCAGTTCATTTTAGTTTATAAAGGTTGTTGACTTCTCCATTATAAAAGAGTAGTGACCTAGTAAAAGAAATAATATATGCATTCTACATTTTCTCTAAAGTAATAATTCTTAGAGCACCTTTATTTTCTAATTCATATACAGCTTGTTGATGAGACAGGATGGATGAGAGAATTTCTCAGTGATAAAAGGATTTAGCATTTTCCACTATTCAAGCAGAACATAGTGAAACCACCATAATACTAAGTTATGTTTAAGGAAGAGATGATATTGAAAACATTTCATGCAATGTCCTGCAGACTCTCTTAAAGAACTTTCCTCAAATGTGTTTTTTCACACTTTTGGTGTTTGATTGTAAAAGTAGAAGCCTGACCACATCACTAGCTGACTTTTAGGTCAGTGTGCACTGAGAGCCTGCAGGACATCGTATGAATCTTACCACTGCCAAGAAACTCAGTGGATCTTGGTCCTTTTCCTTGAGGAAACATAAATCCATAATCAGAGTAAGTGCCTATTCCAGTAAAGAAGAAGCATTACCCTTTACATCTAGGAATTGATTCAATGGTCATCCTGGGAAATGGAGACACATCTAGGTCTTAGTATTTATCTCTGCTGTTGAAATATCAGGCACCCAGCTGCAGATGTAGCCATGCCAAGCCTTGGTGAAGTCTATGCTGTCGAGCCCATGCATAACCTCCATCTCTGCCACCATGATCACTTTATTCACGGCCCACTGTGCAAAGACAGGAATGACTGGTGGGTTGTCCACAGAATAGATCATCCTATCTACATGGTTACTGAACTCCTCATCTGAAGTCACCTTTTGATGAATATTTACACGGGGCACAAATATCTTTATACCCTTTGAGCTTTTAGAGAAATCTATACACATACTTCTTTCCCAAAAGTCTTTCTCACCAATTTTCCAATCATGCTCTTTCCAAGTCTCTGACCATCCAGCCAATTCATTATCTACAGCTCATAAATTGGAATAATTGTACATCGTCTGGTCACATTTGTCCTTCCCAACAAAATGT